TGTATCTGTATTATTAAATGTTCATGGTAGATAGGTAAGAATGGGGAAAGTTGTCTGAACAGACCAGGGAAAGTACTGGAATCCTAGTTAAAGAATATTTTGCTAGATCCTACATTAATCCATGAGGCAATCATGTTGCTCAAAACCCCTTGTGGGGACACCAGACCTTGTTCAGAGACCCACTTCCCCATCAGCCTGGGAGTAGGCAGCTGTAAGACAATGTTTACTAAAAACATGTTTACTAAAAACAATACAATGCCCGGGGCAATAAGTTCCTGAAAAGGGCTGGCCCACGGGAACCGCCCTGACCTCGACCTTGTCCAAAGACTAACCGCCTCTTCTGACACACACAGATCAGTTTTTGGTGTCAGAGCAGAACCAGACAGGGGAGAGAGAGAGCAGAAGCTTTTCTGGAGGGAGGCCTTTCTTGGGAAGTTTTCTTGAGCCTTTTTGGGGCCTGCTTAAAGTTTTCTTTACATCACTGAACAAGTCTCTGTGTTGTCAGTCCCTGACACCCTCCGCACGTTCTCGGACACAGGCTGCGCAGCAGACTCGGCAACCCCTTCTTTGAGAAGTCTTCTGTAGCTCTGTGGAGAGTGGTGAGCTAAGCCTGGCATGTGGAGAGTGTGGTGCTAAGTTTGAATTTGTAGTCATTTCTAACATTTGCAACATGGTAGAACTAGTAAGTCAGGCATCTCCAGAGACAGAGAACCTATGGGATTTATGGGAATTGGCTCACACGACTGTGGAGGCTGAGAACTTGCAGAATATGCTGTTTGCAAACTACAAAGCTGGGAATATAATGGATTCTGGGGCCAGAGGTCTAAGAACTGGCACGAGAACCTGGGGTTCTGGTACATTAGGCAGAAAAGACAGAGGTTCAGCTCTGGAAGACAGAATGAAGAAACCCTTCCTCTGACTTTTGAATTTACCCATGTCTTTGGTATACAGGGTGATGGCCACTTATATTGATGGAGGTGATATTTACTGAAAACACTGCCCTCTCCTAGAAACAACCACATTGACTCCACTCATATTTTACCAGCTGCCAGGACATCCTTGAATCCTGTCAAGTTGAAATATAGCCTCAGGTCCATGTCTGTAGACCTGTCATATATAAGCATTTTAAACAATTTTACTTAATCTTCAAATAAGGCATCAGGTCATAACTTGACCTGAAATAATAAAATTGACCTGTGTATATTCAATAGCACATTTCTTTCCCTAGAAGATGAAATAAATCATTGGCAAACATTGCTTTTTCTCTTTAATGTCCCATAATTTAATATTACAGTGTAGAATTAGTAATACTTTAAAACCATATGAATACATTTATGTTACATGATAAAGGAATAAAAGAAAGAAAATAAAACATTTGCTTTATTTAATATAGTGTATGTGTATATATATACACATATATAGCTATATACACATCCAACATATTTATGACAAATAGGGAGCAAATAGTCATGACAGTTATAGTCCTGAGTTATGTAACTGGTCACGTGGTATAACTGACTTTTATAGCTATCTTCTTCAACTACCAATCAGATTTTACCCTTTGCCTTCTGCGAGCATCTCAATTGTTTATGACTTTTCCTGGTAGTGACCCAGACCTTCATGACCAAATGGTTTGAGTCATTCATAGTTCTTCCTAAGTTGGGCTATTGTCATTTTCCATTGATCTGAGTCACAGAGTATGACAACACTGAGAGATGCCCTAAGGAACCCCCCCCCCCGCACATACCTTTTATTACATCCACTGTAGACTAGTAGTCTAGTCATCTCTAGTAGACTGGGTCAACCACCACCTCCAGCACCTTAATTCCCTTATTAGCCAATTGACTCTGAAGTATGAGGAGATCCAGTGGCTGAGTAACTCCTTGGAAAGGGCAGGAACATTGATAACAAAATGGGCTGTACTTGAAAGAGCTGGCAGTATTTACAAGATGTCCTAAGTAACAACAACCACGCCCCACAGATAACAACTTTGACCTCCAGCTGAGTGGACTCATCATTGTATCTCTTGGTAGAAATCTCTCTCTCTCCCTCTCTCTCTATCTGGAGCTAAGGCTACTTGGCCACTAGAGCACAAAGTATTGGGAACAGGAAACAAAAACCTTGCAAGTAGGTTACTGGGGTAATGGTGAATGGTCCCACTCATTTTCTGTTTCCTGAGTTTTTAGATTGACAAATCCTGGATATGAGAGAAAAAAATTTCATGTATTGGATACTGATGGCCATAGACTGACCTCTAGGGAATCATATTCCATCCTTGAAAGGTGTTGCTACCTTGCTAGTACTATGACAGAGTGATAGATATCTATCAACCAGATGCTTGAGGATAGTGTGAAACACAAGACTAGTAAATTCCATGATCAGAGACACATTGCTGTTCTTTCTATGTGATACGAGTTCCTGGGTCAGAAGTGACACTGTGTGGAATAGCGTGACAGTAGATAGTAAAGTTTCTCTAAGTCTTTTGTTTGAAGCATTGCATTCAGAGAAGGCAAATCCATATCCACAGTAAACATCAGTTCTAGCAGTGACACAATGCTGTCTTTCCCACGAAGGTACTGGAAATGATGCAACAGAGTCAGCCGGTTGCTAGGAACTAGAGGATTACCCCAGAGAATGGCTCAGAGTTGGTCTCTGATGCTGGATAGCTGGAAACTCAGCACTGCTCACAGTATGAATGATCTGGTAAGTTGAAGTCCACGTTGCTGAGTCCATGCATAAACTCCTTCCCCACCACTGTAGCTGCTTAGTTCCTGAGCTCACTGGGTGATGATGGGATGGCTTGGGAATGAGGATAAGTGAAGTCTCGAGACCATAGAGTGCATCCTTCCCTCTTATCTATTAAAGTCACCGCTGAAGTCACATTTTGGTGTGTACATGAGACAATATTATCTTTATATTTTTCTCCTTCAGAGAGGCCAGTTCACATATCTTTCCCCCAAGTTTTCCTGCCAGTCATTTGTTCCTTGTTTGTTTTAGGCCCATTACCCCAGCCGAACCATTGGGTGCTACTCATGAATCAATATAGAACTGCACATTTGACCAGCTTTCTGTTTATCTAACAGAGCCATTTCTAAGCCCAGCCTGGGCCTTCTCCCTATCATCTGAGGGCAACAAATTCCCCACGAGGTCACAGGTGCAGGTTGTAGCAGGAGTGGAGACTAGGGGCAGTCGGGTCACCTCCTAAGTCCTCCTTGTGCCTCAGGACCTGTGCAGGTCTTGTCATGTGCATGTCATTTCTATTTGAGGGAGAAGTGTTGTATACACACTCAGTTTTATGGAACTGGTGGGTCAGCCATCACCTCAATCCTAATGTAAGAGTTGAATTATGTAATTGCACTCAACCCTGGTTTCTTTTTCTTTGGTGCAGACAATGCTAGCTCCTTCTGTTACCTTATTGCTTAGGGGGTCTTGGTTGATTCATTTTTCTCTGCCAGTCAAAAAATTTAAAGGCAGGGAAAACATCTCAAACACAACAGGTGGCAGCTGGGGAATTCTCAACCACAGCACACAGAATCTTCTGGTAAAGAAATACTTCTGTTAGAGGTGAAGAAATATATACATACAACAAAGCACACACAGAGAATGCCCTCCTATAAAGTAGAGAGTGTTTCTCCTTGAGGGATGAGAGTTTTAAGGGTCTTCCTCCCCCAACTTAGGGATGGACAGTTCAAACAAAGCCAGGAAGGCTGACAGGTCCACACATTTGGAGTGCACACATCCTGATCTGACATCAAACTTGTCAGACTGGTCCTCAGTCCTCAGGCAGGGGGACCTCACTGAGGGGAGAGAAAGCCTAGCAGGCCTTTTTTTATTAAGTAGCTAAACTTTTACCTCAGACTAGGAGGCTGAGGAAGAAGTGGCCATCTTAGAATTTCACCATCTCTGTTACCTCGTCATGCCTGTCGGGGAATCTGTCTGACTCCTAAGCTCTTACTTCCACACAGGATCCTCAGTAGAGTGAAGTTCTAAAACCCGTTACACGGGCATCACTTAGAACTTTCTCAGAAATGCAGAATCCGTTACTCCTTCCCATTACTAAACATCATCATGTATGCTTTAAAATGTCCCAGATGTGCTGAGTGTGGTAGCTCACACCTTCAATCCCAGTGCTTGGGAGGCAGAGGCAGGCAGATTTTGAGCATTCAAGACCGGTTTGGTCTATGTAACAAGATTCAGGCAAGCCAGGGGAAAATATTAAGATCCTCTAGTTAAAAAAAAAATCCCCGGTGACTCATAGGTATGTTAAAACATAGAAAGATTAAGACTAAATGAAATAATGCTGGTAACGGAGTTTACAGTGTGCTGCTGAAAGTCAATACTATGAACACCTTTCTCCCATACTCCACTCATTAGTGGTTCCAGATCAGAACCTTGTCTTGTGCATTGAAATGTCTCCAGAATCCAAAGAGAATCTGGGAGATGGCAGCCACTCAGATTTATGTGGTCACTAAAAATCTGTTAGAAAGAAAAGTGAATGAGAAAGAAACAGACAGACCGACGGCTAGAAGATGTTCTCCTCCATCTTCAAATAGAGGACTTTTAAGTGTGTGCAGCTGTGGTTCTCAACCTGTGGGTCAAGACCCCTTTAGCAATCTTTTACCTCCAAAACTATTTCCATTACGATCCATAACAGTAGCAAAGTTACAGCTATGAAGTTGCCACAAAGACAATTTTAGGGTTGGGGGATCACCACAACGGAGGAACTGTATTAAAGGGTTGCAGCATCAGGAGGGTTTAGAGCCACTGTTGTACGCAACAGCCTTGAAGCCAAGAAGCTGCCATCTTCAGGAGTACAGCTGTGCCTGCTTCCAAGCGATCACAGCTGGGTTTGATGACTGTAAGCATCCGCTCACAGAAGGATGCGGGTGGGAGCATCATGGGATCCTCACCTGATCATCCAGGCTCTCCTGCCAACCAGTTGTATGCAATTCTGCCCTAATTGCTTGGGGCTCTGGGGTCTTGGGGAGGGGCTAGAGTATATAAGCTGGGGAAGATGAAGGTAAGAGGGCCTCATCTGTGTGGAGCCATCATCTATACTGGGCGAAACTTTTCAGTGCAGCTGCTTCGGAGGGCTTCATACTCCTGCCTGTAACCAATCATCCCGATCTGTAAGTAATCCCTGTGAACTTTGGTTCCCCAGAAGGATGCTAGTGGAATACAACTTTGCTTTGTCATTAGGGCCTTAGAAGGAATGGGTAGACAGTGCCCATGCCCTGTGCCCAAGGACAAAGTTCTTGTAACATAAGGCCACGCACATTGAATTGAGAAAAATTTTCAAGTTCTCTTTCCTTCGTGTGTGTATCTGTCATATGCGGACAAGAGCACAAATCCAAGCAAGGGCCGGTTCCCACCCTTTGCCAGCGTGTGCCTGTTTGTATTTTATAATGAATCTCTTGCAGTACTCATTTCAACCTTATCTTGGCTTAAAAGATAAGGAAAGAACCAAAACATATGGGGTTTGTTGGCACACGGGGGCTGAGTTATGAATACTGTCACAGACATAGGAACTCAAAGGTTCAGACAAGGAAAACAAGCAGAAAAAAAAAGGCTCCAGAATGTAGGCACCTCCTCCCTCCTCCACCTACCTCCCTCCTCCCTCCTCCAACCTCCCTCCTTTCCTGCAGAAAAGAGCCTCTGAGGTCCAGGAACACACCCTCTTCCTTCTTCAGGGCTGAGGATCCAATCCATCCACTTACTACTTTTGTGTGTGCTTGGTGCAGGCCATTTTCTCTTCAAATAGGCAAACTATTTGACAAACTCTCCCCAGCCCTCAGTGCAAGCTGCTCACCCTAGGATGGGGGAAAACAAGCTTCCATACCACCCTGAAGTATGGAATTACTAGAACCAGACCTCCCTCCCTTCCCCTTTCTTTCTTTCTTTCTTTCTTTCTTTCTTTCTTTCTTTCTTTCTTTCTTTCTTTTTTGAACAAAGAACTTTCTTTTGTTGACTAATCTACTTTAACTGATCCTCTTCCCTCATACATATTTATATCAAATTCTTTTCTTTAAGCAGGCTCTATTTTCTTTCTGAAGATATTTAGGATTTCATTGTGTGTACAGGGAGGGACCAGGTCAGCTCTCAGAGTGGATGGTGGAGATGCTTACCCAGATGCTCCTGGTAGGGAAGGCACTGGCAGTCTGGAGTACCAACCTCCTGCTGAGTCACTACCATATGTCCCTCCCTTCTACCTGTGCCTCTCTCTCTCTCTCTCTCTCTCTCTCTCTCTCTCTCTCTCTCTCTCTCTCTCTCTCTCTCTCTCTCTGTCCTCCTGACTTCATCTTACATTCTATGGCTTTTCCCTGTCAACTGGTTGCTCGTTCCATTTCTCGACCTATGGTTGATTTTATTTAATCCTGTTTACAATACTCAAGCATAAATCTCTGGATTAAAAGTGTGTGCTAGCCAGGTGTTGGTGGCACATGCCTTTAATTCCAGCAGTCGGGAGGCAGAGGCAGGCAGATCTCTGTGAGTTCAAGGCCAGCCTGGTCTACAGAGCGAGTTCCAGGACCTCTTCCGCAATGATCCCTGAGCCTTTAGAGGAGGGAATATGATCTAGACCCCCCACTTAGGGACAAGCTCTCCATAGTCACATATTCTCTGCACCCTGACTAGTTTCGAGGCCTCTCTTTTACAATCTGTTGAAAAATGAGGCTTCTTTGCTGAGGATTGAGAGAGGCACTAATCTGTGGATATAGTGAGGAGTCATTAGGAATCAGTTTAATTCTGTGTCCTACTAGTAGAGTAATAGTAAGTTTTTCCCTGGGGCTTTTAACCTGTATACCCACAAGTTCTTGGTCATAATAACTGTATCAGGTATGGATTCTATCCAGTGGAATAGGCCTTAAATCCAATCAGGAAGCCATGAAATTTATGCCATTGTTACATTATTGGTGATATCTTGGTGGGCAGGTTATTATTATAGTTTGTATTGTTCATAGCTAGATAAGGTTGGTGACTGCTTTATTTCCTTCGGTAGCATGCATAGCAACTTCTAGCACTATGGAATCTAGATCATAGAGATGAAACTTCCAAGTCAATGCCTGTTTGATATCTCCATGTTCTATCACTGAAGTAAGCAACGTCTTTAGCAACAGGTTCAGCATCAAGTTCTAACCAAGAGGACAGGTGGGTTGCTGGTAGAAAAATGTATAGTTCAGGCTGAGAGTTGGGCTTCAGAATTAAATGTGATCAATATATAATGTACATATAAAGCCATGAAACCAAGTTCCCATAGTAGGAAAGTCCAAAGGTCAAAAGGACGGAGACCTAGGACCCTGACTTCCCAGTGTTTGGGATATAAGGAAAAATAAGCCAAGGCCACTGACAGGGAATGGCTGGTGAAGCAGGAGAAAGAAAACACATGGAAGGCATATGGAGAAGGTATGTCAAGGAGGAGTGGTCAGTTATACCAGATTATGCTATTAGGTGAGGATAGACAAGTCTGCCACTGCTTACAGAGCACAGAGTCATGTGATTTTTTTTCCTGGGAGTTGTGAACAAACATCTTTGCTCATGATATCTAGTCTATAATAAGTCAAAGAAAATATTCTACTAAAGTCAAACTAGGTGAATCAAGTAGTTACCTGGGTCTTCTTACAGAAGCATGGATGAATCAGAGGCACCTGTATCACTGAAAAGCCCATTCCAACATGGGTGGCAACTCACAACATTTGTAACTCTGGAACTCTTTGCACAACTTGCAGACAGCTGGACAGGTTGGAGTATTTTGTATTCAGTATCCCTTACTTCTTGTATAATCTTGGGGAATGTGGTAGTTTGAATAAGAATAGTCCCCATAGGCTCATATATTTTAATGTTTGGCTCCTAGTTGGTGGAACTGCTTAGGAAGGATTAAGAGGTGTGGCCTTGTTGGAGGAAGTATGTCACTAGAAATGGGCTTTGAGGTTCCACCATTCTCCCCTGCCCTGTCTCCTACCTGTGAATTGGGATGTAAGTTCTTGTGCCATGCCTGCCTACCGGATGCCATACTTCCTGCCATGATGATCATGGACTAACTCTCTGAAATTGTAAGCAAGCCCCAAATTTTCTTTTATATGATGCCTTGATGATGGCGTGTCTTCAAAACAATAGAATAGTAACTAAGACAAGGAGGAACAAGCTTTGTAAATCTTCTAAGTTTCAGAGACATCCTGAGATTTGTGAGTTGTTTACTTCCTCAATCTGGTGAACCCCCCTTCCTCCCTCAAGAAAGGAATGTTTCAATTTGGAGGAAATCCCTGCACAACGCCTAGAAACATGGCAGCTTCTAGTGTTCTTGTTAAGAGCAGTTTTAATGTTGTACATTCATAAATGAGTGGGAAGAGAGAGCTAGAAAGATGGCTGAGCAGGTAAAGTCACTTGCTCCCAAGGCTGATGACTTGGGATCCACATTATGGAAGGTGAGAACTGATGTTCATATGATCCTTCCATATGCAATCCATAGCATGCTCTCCACACACCAAAAAAAAATGTAATTATAAACTTAAAAGAATGAATGGGAGAAAAAAAACCACAGAGAGTGGTATAAATTACTCTTTTCTACCTCTTCATCGGGGTCTTGTTTATATTTTACCCTGACTATTGGAGTAGGTTCCTTGCCAACAGTCCTTGAGTTTTTAATTATGTTGTTTGTTTATTGTGTGGGTGTGAGGGGGTGTATATGTGTCATGGCATAAGTGTGGAGGTCAGAAGACACTTTGTGGGAATGGAGTCTCTGCTTTCCCTGTGGGTCTCAGGGATCAAGCTCAGGTTATCAGGCTTGGCAGAAAGCACCTTTAGCCGTGGAGTAATTTCGCTGGCCCGGCCTCAAGTCTCAATGAAATCTTTAGCAAAGCACTCAGTTTGGCTTTGACAACTGCACAGCCTTAGAGCCTCACAACACTCCAATCACAAATCATTGTGCCAAGACTTCTCATAAGCATCTGTAGCATCATACATCTTTTTCATATGTTTCTTTGGGAAAAAAAATCCCAATCTGAGCCTTTTCAGTTCTGGTCATTGCTAAGTTGTAGCTCAAGGTCATCTGTGGCAAATCTTTCTTTCTCTTTGTTTCTGGGTCGCATGATTTTGGTATCTTAGCATTTATCATCTCGTCGTGCTGTAATTTGAACACAGCATAACTATGGCCTAAGAGTTCCAAGGTCTAAGAGGCAGACCATCAAACAGCTGTTTGTTGAATGATTACTGTTGCACTGTGGATAACCTTTTGCCTCTTTTAAAATAGCACCATGAGGTACTTACTATAATTATCCTTCATCTTACATGAGAATAAATGTGTCTTAGCAAGCCATGAAACCTGACAATAGATCCACTAACAAGTAATTTGCATTCAAGACTCAAACCTAGTTCTGCCTGAATTGGAAGCCCATGTTTAATTCAAGCACCCACACAGCTGCCTCTGAGAGAGGTGCTAGTATGTCTATGTCTTTACTGTTGCTCACATGTGAAGGTTTATGAATTGAAATCAGCATTGCACCCCATTGCTCCAGAGAATTTTCTGTAACAAAGATATCCACATTGTTCAGTCTTCTAACAAACAGGCACACAGGGCCACTGAGTGTTTGAAATTTGCTTGGTGCCACCAAGGAACCAATATCTCACTTAATTTTAACTAGTTTACGTGTAAATGCCTATGTGTGACTTGTGGGCCAAGCGACTAGTTCCATAATGGGCACTATAAGTCTAGGAACCAACTGTTTCTCCATTGCTAGGAAAAAAGCATATGACAAGATCTCCCCCCCCCTCCCCCGTTGGACCCGTCCCCCATAGGGATCTGCTGAACAGTTTGTGACTAGAAGCATTTGCAAATATTTCTTATTCCCCTCCTTCCAGTAAAACCTGTATGTAAGTTCTTGTTTTCCACCTATCCTTATTGCCAGAGGGCCCTGGGAATGTGAACTTCTGTCCTTGGTAGTTTTCCACCATGCCTGCTAACTGGTATATAATATAATGATCCCCTCTGGTTGCAAAAAAGAACATTCTCCTTGTAAGAATGACCCGCTGTCTTTTGTCTTTATTTCAATCCTCAGGCCCTCACCCAAATCCTTGAAGTGTTCCACCTTTTGGGCACTACATCTGTGTGTGTGTGTGTGTGTGTGTGTGTGTGTGT